TTCATAGAGCTGGTCAGTGTAACAAATAATTAAAGGCAACCGCATTGCCAACATTGCGATATTCGCAAGAGTGCACGTGCACGTGTTAACTCATGGGAATCTGCTAAATAATTTGTAACAATAAAATACTTCTAGACATTTTCAAATTCTTACTGTACCTTTTTACTTGATGGAAATCATCACAAATAGTACGTACGAGGTTGCAATTGTCTCCATAATTGTCCTTCGAAAGCCGAAACATCGCGTCATCGCCTCCTCGGCGATTTATATGATGCGATATAAAAGAAGATTGACGTACATTTGACGTAATATATAAACGTAACACATTAAAAAGAAAGATTACAACAAAAAATAAAAGAATGTAAATAATCCACGGCAATTCAAGTTGTACAGTATTCGTGAACTTTTCCTCGCCCCCCTGTCTTTATTTCCATAAAGCCCGCTCGCAGGCTAATACTCCAAGAATCTTGGAGCATTTGCCTGACACGTGACCAGCGTTTACCAGGGCCATGTCGCTGCCTTCAACTCACGACTGGCCATGGGTACGAGGTTGGTTTTATACGTCGAATTTCAGTCGCGTCGAATGCAATTCAAACAATACTGAGATATCATCTCATTATCTATTGTCATTCCGTTCGACGCAAAATTCGACGTATAAAACGGGCTTAAAGAAAGAAAAATAGATAAATATTAGGAGGCAAACAAAGTTAATTATGCAATAAACTTTTGCTCGGAGAGAGTACGTTTCCACGTTTCCCAAAAGTGAAAGCTTAGGCCAAGTTATAGATTGTGTGAATATTACCCGCATGTGTCACATTCAAATTAAACATACAAATTAATAAATAACCGGAAAATGAAACTAAACCGCAATCATATTTCAAAATCACACACTGAGATATAGTTCATTGGTGATGGGTGAAGGTGTCTTGCAAGTATAGGTAGCGTGTTTGCTAAGTCGAAAATCGCAACGGCAACTGCGCAGTTCCCGCTGTGATTTTAAGCGTGCGGGTTGTAATGTTACCAACACCTGAATTCATACCTAGTTCAGTACCCTTAGCTTATTGAACTGATAAAGAAATGATTGGCGGAAATTTCGGTGGGGCGTGGAAACTTCGTGGAAAATGACGAATTTTCGTAAATTTTGACCTATAAGAGGACTAGAAACAGTCTTTTCGAGTGGAAATGGGGGGGGGGGGGGGGT